GACATGGTGACAGCAGTAAGACAAGAGAGAGAGGGGTGGGTGGATTGCATTTTCTTGGACTGCAAGAAGGCGTTTGACACAGTTCCACACAAGAGATTGGTGCAAAAACTGGAGGACCAAGCAGGGATAACAGGGAAGGCACTACAATGGATCAGGGAATACTTGTCAGGAAGACAGCAGCGAGTCATGGTACGTGGCGAGGTGTCAGAGTGGGCACCTGTGACCAGCGGGGTCCCGCAGGGGTCAGTCCTAGGACCAGTGCTGTTTCTGGTATTTGTGAACGACATGACGGAAGGAATAGACTCTGATGTGTCCCTGTTTGCAGATGACGTGAAGTTGATGAGAAGAATTCACTCGATCGAAGACCAGGCAGAACTACAAAGGGATCTGGACAGGCTGCAGACCTGGTCCAGCAATTGGCTCCTGGAGTTCAATCCCACCAAGTGCAAAGTCATGAAGATTGGGGAAGGGCAAAGAAGGCCGCAGACGGAGTACAGTCTAGGGGGTCAGAGACTACAAACCTCACTCAAGGAAAAAGATCTTGGGGTGAGTATAACACCAGGCACATCTCCTGAAGCGCACATCAACCAAATAACTGCTGCAGCATATGGGCGCCTAGCAAACCTCAGAACAGCATTCCGACATCTTAATAAGGAATCATTCAGGACCCTGTACACCGTGTACGTTAGGCCCATATTGGAGTATGCGGCACCAGTTTGGAACCCACACCTAGCCAAGCACGTGAAGAAACTAGAGAAAGTGCAAAGGTTTGCAACAAGACTAGTCCCAGAGCTAAGAGGTATGTCCTACGAGGAGAGGTTAAGGGAAATCAACCTGACGACACTGGAGGACAGGAGAGATAGGGGGGACATGATAACGACATACAAAATACTGAGAGGAATTGACAAGGTGGACAAAGACAGGATGTTCCAGAGATTGGACACAGTAACAAGGGGACACAGTTGGAAGCTGAAGACACAGATGAATCACAGGGATGTTAGGAAGTATTTCTTCAGCCACAGAGTAGTCAGTAAGTGGAATAGATTGGGAAGCGATGTAGTGGAGGCAGGATCCATACATAGCTTTAAGCAGAGGTATGATAAAGCTCACGGCTCAGGGAGAGTGACCTAGTAGCGATCAGTGAAGAGGCGGGGCCAGGAGCTCGGACTCGACCCCCGCAACCTCAACTAGGTGAGTACAACTAGGTGAGTACACACACACACACACACACATACACACACACACACACACACACACCCACACACACACACCCACACACACACACACACACACACACCCACCCACACACACACACACACACACACCCACACACACACACACACACACACACCCACCCACACACACACACACACACACACACACACACACACAACTAACACACACACACACACACACACACACACACACACAGGGGCCAGGTGCTGAGTCGGGGCCAGGAGCTGAGTCTCGACCCCTGCAACCACAATTAGGTGACTACACACACAAGCAAAGTAATACGTAATAAGTAATAACAATACATCTGATTTATTTAATATTTCACCTTCTTGTGGTATTTAATATCCATTGTGCAATAAGCATTGACTGATATATTGAAAATAGTAAATATAATATTAAAAAGGAAAAAATATTGGAAAATTATCTGCCTGGCAAAAATTTCGTATCGGTATCGGGAAGAGTTTTGGTATCATCTCATCCTTTATATATATATATATATATATAATATATATATATATATATATATATATATAATATATATATATATATATATATATATATATATAAGAAAATCCCCAAAAATAAAATACTTTCATCATCATTCAACACTTTCACCTCACTCATACATAATTACTGTTTTTGCAGAGGTGCTCAGAATACAACAGCTTAGAAACATACACGTATAAAGATACACAACATATCCCTCCAAACTGCCAATATCTCAAACCCCTCCTTTAAAGTGCAGGCATTGTACTTCCCATTTCCAGGACTCAATTCCGACTATATAAAAATAACCGGTTTCCCTGAATCCCTTCACTAAATATTACCCTGCTCACACTCCAAAAGGTCGTCAGGTCCCAAATACCATTCGTCTCCATTCACTCCTATCGAACACGCTCATGCACGCCTGCTGGAAGTCCAAGCCCCTCGCCCACAAAACCTGCCTTACCCCTTCCTTCCAACCTTTTCGAGGACGACCCCTTCCCTGCCTTCCTTTCCCTACAGATTTATACGCTCTCCATGTCATTCTACTTTGATCCATTCTCTCTAAATGACCAAACCACCTCAATAACCCCTCTTCTGCCCTCTGACTAATACTTTTATTAACTCCACACCTTCTTCTAATTTCCACACTCCGAATTTTCTGCATAACATTTACACCACACATTGCCCTTAGACAGGACATCTCCACTGCCTCCAACCGCCTCCTCGCTGCTGCATTTACCACCCAAGCTTCACATCCATATAAGAGTGTTTGTACTACTATACTTTCATACATTCCCTTCTTTGCCTCCAGAGATAACGTTTTTTGACTCCACATATACCTCAGCGCACCACTCACCTTTTTTCCCTCATCAATTCTATGATTAACCTCATCCTTCATAAATCCATCCACCGACATGTCAACTCCCAAGTATCTGAAAACATTCACTTCTTCCATACTCCTCCTCCCCAATTTGATATCCAATTTTTCTTTATCTAAATCATTTGATACTCTCATCACCTTACTCTTTTCTATGTTCACTTTCAACTGTCTACCTTTACACACATTCCCAAACTCATCCACTAACCTTTGCAATTTTCCTTTAGAGTCACAGTATCATCAGCAAAAAGCAACTGTGTCAGTTCCCATTTGTATTTGATTCCCCATAATTTAATCCCACCCCTCTCTCGAGCATCCTAGCATTTACTTCTTTTACAACCCCATCTATAAATATATTAAACAACCATGGTGACATTACACATCCCTGTCTAAGACCTACTTTTACTGGGAAGTAGTCTCCCTCTCTTCTACACACCCTAACCTGAGCCTCACTATCCTCATGAAAACTCTTTACAGAATTTAATAGCTTACCACCTATTCCATATACTTGCAACATCTGCCACATTGCTCCCCTATCCACTCTATCATATGCCTTTTCTTGATCCATAAATGCAATAAAAACTTCCCTACCTTTATCTAAATACTGTTCACATATATGCCTCAATGTAAACACTTGATATATATTAATGAAACCACGAAACAAGTGGTATTGAAGTATTTACCAAACTGCGGCTAGCCGAGATTAGATCCTGCGACACGTTCTCCCGCCTCAAGAGACAGAACAACGTTCACACTGTCTTAATCACTTAACCAGCAATCCTTCAAAGATCTTCCAACTACCACGAGTGTCCTTGGATCACCAGCGATCTGAAGGATCGCTGGTTATCAAGAAGGCTATGTGAACGTTGTTCTGTCTCTTGAGGCGGAGAATATGTCCCAGGATCTAATCTCGGCTGGCCACAGTTTTGTAAATTTCTATACATATTTATCTATCTATCTATCTATCTATCTATATATATATATATATAAATATATAATATATATATATATATATATATATATATATATATATATATATATATATATATAGTTATCTTTCTTTCAACGCACCGTGTGTATCCCACCAAGGCGGGGTGGACCACCGAGGCAGGGTGGCCTACTCAGGCGGGTGGCCCACCGAGGCAGGGTGGCCCAAAAAGAAAAAACGAAAGTTTCTCCTTTTACATTTAGTATTATATACAGGAAAAGGGGTTACTAGCACCTTGGTCCCGGCATTTTAGTCGCCTCTTACGACAAACATGGCTTACGGAGGAAGAATTCTGTTTCACTTCCCCATGAAAGTGGAACAGAATTATGAAATGAACTCAAAAGGCATTTAGATATCAACAAAAACCCTCCAATGTACTATCACGAAAATTATTATTATTATTATTATTATTATTATTATTATTATTATTATTATTATTATTATTATTATTATTATTATTATACTGTCATATGCTTTAAATATTGTTTCCTTTGTTGTCTCTCACAAAAGGTAAAAACGCTATCATTAGCGCGAAGTTTGTATAACAATAAATATTATTGTTGTTTCTAAGATAATATGAGACAAGAACAGCTGACAACTGAAGCTGAAGAAAAACTCGGCTCCTACACAAGACAATAACAGTCCAAGGATTCCTTTAATAGAAATAGATCTTTGTTGATGGAATGAAAAGCACTTTTTAATTGTAACAATTTCTTCAATAAAATTGGGAAATTGGTTCTTACACAACCCAACATCCTACACACCACCATAACCATGTCTCACCATCATAATTGTGTCCCACCACCATAACCATGTCACATCATTATAACCATGTCACCATCATAACTATGTCATATCACTTACACCACCGTTACTCTGACACACCACTAATACCACCATGAATATATTACACATTGCATCATCTTAACTATGATACACAATCATTATTAAGCCATCCTACAGACACCATCACTTCATCTAGTATGCCACACTAACTCCACTATGAGCTTGGTACACCACTCTCAATACCACTTCACCATTATTTGTTACAGTAACTAAGTACTAGCACTAGTAGCACCAGTTTTCATTATGTTAAACAACACATCACAAGCTGGCTAACACCAGTGAAATCTAACTTCGGCTAATCGCCCAGTTAGATACTAATCAAGTAATCGCCCAGTTAGATACTAAGATCGATGGAAAGCATTGAAGGACTGAGGTATGATGCTGCAGCAATAAACTGTATGGGTAGACAATGAGAGGTTAACATTGGTTAAACAACCTGACCAGTTTAGGTGGATATTAAGATAGAAGTTTTTGTTACATAATAACTACAGTTATTCTCACCGGTGAACTACACAAACCCCACATTATCACTCACTACCAGTGATTCTTAAAGATTCCGTATTTTGCTCTCAGGACTTGTGTTAGAGACTTGAGCAACAATGATGGCTGGATCTGGTGTGTCACTGCTGCTTCTGTTGGCTCTTCTTCACTTGTAAGTCTGCTTTTATCTCCTTCTTATACATTTGTTTTATTTCACTATTTATTGTGCAACGCTTAACAAACTTAAGATAGAATTTCTTTTGAAAATTATTAGGTACATTATCTCAACAAGTATGAAATATTTTCCACACATAACTAGGTCTTTTGATACTTTAAAAAGCCACATTTTCCAGGTAAATTAATGTCTTGAAAAGTCTTTTATATCTGTATACATGGAGAGGGTTTCGGGGGTCGACGCCCCCCGCGGCCCGGTCTGTGACCAGGCTTCATGGTGGATCAGAGCCTGATCAACCAAGCAGTGCATAAAATTTAAAGCATTCACCGTCGCGATCAAATTTAACTTTTCGTAACACCTGGTTATGTATGCACACTGCTTGACGGAATATTGATAACAGGAGTAACAACAAAGACAGCTGTGTTTTGCTTCATGTGTCATCATATGTATATTTTATATGATTACATAACGAAAATGATTTTGGTATTAGTTATTTTATTAGTAATTAACATAAATATTGGATCTATTCCCATTAAGAAGACAGGTTGAAGAAATGTGGAAAGACAACATATTTATCTCTGATATAAGACGATCTGTTCCTCAAAACGAGGTATTAAGTTATTGTTTTATATACCTGTTAGTCAACCTCTCCATTTATAACATCGAGATGTTATAAATGGAGATGTTTTAGTATGATAAATAACACAATTTGGTTATTATAATCTCATGAGTGAGTCAGTTCTTAGTTCTATTGCCCGAAATGCCTCGGCATGATAGTGGCTATCTTTGTACTTAGCAAATCAAATTTGTAATTACACATTGTAACCTTTACAAAGAAATAAAATTATTATTATTATTATTATTATTATTATTATTATTATTATTATTATTATTATTATTATTACCTAATGCAATTACATTTTATTATTAAATTCACGGGAAATCACTGAACCAGAAGTGGTCATGAGACGCATGGAGAGCTGTGCAGTCAATATTAAAGTACATGTGTTGTGGATGCTGCGGATCCTAGAAGCGTTTCCCTCATGTTCCATAACCCCAGCTCCCTCTACCTGTACTAGGCAAAAGAAATGGTACAAGGTGCGACATTAATTTCTATCTAATGCAGCCCATAATAGAAATTACCCTGCGAATAGATCAAATTTCCCATGAGGTCCAGTAGCTGAGGATCAGGACCATCAAACAGCTATAGCTGTAACTTAAAAAAAAAAAAGAGTTAGGTTTATGGAGCAACGTGCAATGTGAACAGACTGACTGATGTTGTAGTGGCCAGGCTTAGGCTTGGTTACAAGTACTTCTGGCAGTTTGGGAGACACACAGATGATGATCAAACTAAATGTAAATTATGTGATCAGGAATATGGTCACTGTCTTGAACACTATGTGCTTAATTGTCCACTTATTGAGGAATACAGAGACAGACAGTATAATAACCTATGTGACATGTCAAGATATCTTATTAATGAAAATAAGATACCAGATATACTAAGCAAATTTCCTAAATTTGCTTGTAACAGATGAGTGAACTATAGATATGTAGATATAAATCCATATATATTCCTGTTAACCCTTTGGGGCCTAGTTCCTAGGCCTTTTGTGTAACCATATGCTCTTGCGCTGCCGTTCACAAGATGGATATGGGGTGCACAATAAACTAGCCACTTCGGTGGCAAAATCTAATCTAAAATCTAGGTATGCAAAAGACCCGTTAGGTGTGTATCAAAAATCATAAATTAAGCTAGGACCTTGAAACTGGGCCGAACTTGTCTCTAAGTTAAAAATTTCTACATGGGTTGTATAGGTGTCAAGTTGGCACCTATATAACCCAAAATTAACAGGAACCTTTATTGAAGAAGAATGCACCAACGTTTTAGGTTCTAAGTCGCTCAGAAGAGGAAACTTGTTAGTTATTCTAGGTATTATCTTCACAAAAATTCGGTCACGGACCAGACCTCTTAGGTATACCTGGAGACCTGGAGACCTGGAGACCTGGAGAGGGTTAAAAGTGTATTAAGAAACACATTAAAAGTATATGCATATTGAATGCAAGAATTTCTTGAGATTTACAAGGCATACTTCACAATCATATGATAGAAAGAAATTATCAACAACAATATCAGAATTAAATATGTATATATTATATATATAATTATATATATATATATATATATATATATATATAATATATATATATATATATATATATCCATTGCTGCGTGATGTTAGAAATGTATCACTGTGTTTCATAAACCCAGCTTCTTCTACCTCAATATACGAATTAACTCCAGCATGAAAATATATATTAGTGCTCAGAGAAAAAAAATTTTTTTTCTTTGATTTTTTTCTCCCATTCATAAAACTAAATATCATAATAATGAAAACTTGAAGCCTCTCAGGAAAGGTATTCCCGAGTAGCTGATCTGGTTCCGATGACTCCATTTAAAAAAAAGTAAAATTTCAAATTTGCGGTTATTCTGACTATGAGAGTATCATCATTGTTATAGGCTGTATTATTATTAATATTTTGAAGATTATCAGAGGAAGAATTCTATAATTATTAGAGATGAATATCATTATTTATTCAATAAAACTGGGAAATTGGGACTAATGGTACCCAATAACAAGGTTCATTTTGTGTTTAGTAAATCACACGAGAGGTGAAAATTTGAAGCCGATCAGATGAGGCATTCTTTAGTTATAGCACGGATTTAAATAATTCAGATTCACTTATTAACTATTTTATTATTTTGACAAATTTAGCAACAAACAATGGTGAGAGAACGATGCAGCAGCACTTACACTCACTCCCTCACAATACTTAAAATGAAAAGTATTTAATGTGATTTAACGAGAATCAAAATTCAGGACTTTGGTCATAGGGTAAGTAAGTAAGTAAGTAAGTAAGCAAGTAAGTAAGTAAGCAAGTAGGTGACAGTACTTGTTAATTGTTTCATGAATCTTGATACTAAAACTTCACCTTGAAGGACCTGTATTGCTTAGTTATTGTGTCTTCACTATATATACATATATATACATACATATATATATATATATATATATATATATATTATTATATATATATATATATATATATATATATATATATATATATATATATATATATCGTGCCGAATAGGCAGAACTTGCGATCTTGGCTTAAATAGCAACGTTCATCTTGCAAGATAGGACAATCGAAAATCATTGTGAACCTAACGAAAAAATATATTTAACTATGTTTGTTTAGTATTAAATTATTGTATACAAATCTAAAATATATTTAGTTGGGTTAGGCTAAAATAAATTGTTCCTGTTATAATAAGGTTAGGTAAGTTTTCTAAGATTCTTTTGTAGCAAAATTAAAAATTTTTACATTAACATTAATGAAAAATATATAACTTTAAACGTATATAAGGAGGCCTGGTCACAGACCGGGCCGCGGGGGCGTTGACCCCCGGAACTCTCTCCAGGTAAACTCCAGGTATAAGAGAAAATTTTAGAAAGAACTTAATTTTAAATGAGTTCTTGCTAATTGACCAGTTTTACATATTCGGCACGACATTTTATAATATATATATATATATATATATATATATATATAATATATATATATTTTTTTTTTTTTTTTTTATTATCACACCGGCCGATTCCCACCAAGGCAGGGTGGCCCGAAAAAGAAAAACTTTCACCATCATTCACTCCATCACTGTCTTGCCAGAAGGGTGCTTTACACTACAGTTTTTAAACTGCAACATTAAAAACCCCTCCTTCAGAGTGCAGGCACTGTACTTCCCATCTCCAGGACTCAAGTCCGGCCTGCCGGTTTCCCTGAATCCCTTCATAAATGTTACTTTGCTCACACTCCAACAGCACGTCAAGTATTAAAAACCATTTGTCTCCATTCACTCCTATCAAACACGTTTCACGCATGCCTGCTGGAAGTCCAAGCCCCTCGCACACAAAACCTCCTTTACCCCCTCCCTCCAACCCTTCCTAGGCCGACCCCTACCCGCCTTCCTTCCACTACAGACTGATACACTCTTGAAGTCATTCTGTTTCGCTCCATTCTCTCTACATGTCCGAACCACCTCAACAACCTTCCTCAGCCCTCTGGACAACAGTTTGGTAATCCCGCACCTCCTCCTAACTTCCAAAACTACGAATTCTCTGCATTATATTCACACCACACATTGCCCTCAGACATGACATCTCCACTGCCTCCCAGCCTTCTCCTCGCTGCAACATTCATCACCCACGCTTCACACCCATATAAGAGCGTTGGTAAAACTATACTCTCATACATTCCCCCTCTTTGCCTCCAAGGACAAAGTTCTTTGTCTCCACAGACTCCTAAGTGCACCACTCACTCTTTTTCCCTCATCAATTCTATGATTCACCTCATCTTTCATAGACCCATCCGCTGACACGTCCACTCCCAAATATCTGAATACGTTCACCTCCTCCATACTCTCTCCCTCCAATCTGATATTCAATCTTTCATCACCTAATCTTTTTGTTATCCTCATAACCTTACTCTTTCCTGTATTCACCTTTAATTTTCTTCTTTTGCACACATATATTATATATATACATGCAAAACAACCACTCTGAAAGAATAGAGAAATTCCAAGCGCTTTCGTGACTACTCACATTATCAAGGATAATGTGAGTAGTCACGAAAGCGCTTGGAATTTCTCTATTCTTTCAGAGTGGTTGTTTTGCATTTTCCCTGAAATCACCTGTTTACTGTGATCTTATTGCATATATATATATATATATATATATATATATATATATAAATATATATATATATATATATATATATATATATATATATATATATATAATATACATATATGCAAGGAATTCGCAAGAGCAGGCGAAATATACACAAACACTGATCTCTGGCTCAAGGAGACTGAAGGAGATCAGTGTTTGTGTATATTTCGCATGCTCTTGCGAATTCCTTGCATTGTTAAAATCTCTAGTAAGGCTGATGCATGCAGGGGATGATATGAAAAGCTGTAAGCCGTCTCCCTGAAAGCTGGCTGCCTTGGATCAACGTCTAGCTCAAGCTGCACACCAAGGTATTGTCCAGTATGGATAGATTGGTATAGCACTGCGTACCTTGTTCCAAGGTTGGTTGGTTCGAGTTTCCTTCAGCCAGAGATCAGTGTTTGTGTATAATTCGCCTGCTCTTGCGAATTCCTTGCATTGTTAAAATCTCTAGTTGGTCGATGCATGCAGGGGATGAGATGAAAAGCTCTAAGCCTTCTCCCTGAAAACTGGCTGCCTTGGATCAACGTCTAGCACTGTGCTAGGTGCCAGGGTATTGGTCGAGTGTGGTGAGAATGGTATAGCACTGCGTACCTTGTTCCAAGGTTCGTAGGTTCGAGTCTCCTTCAGCCAGAGATCAGTGTTTATGTGGAAATTATTTAATTTCCGAAGCTATAGTGCCTAATAAGTGCTTAATGTGTTGATTTGGGTCAAAATGTATTTGTATTTTGAATGGAACCAACTGGGTTCCCGCTGCGCCTGCGCAGATGTGCGGGGGTATAAGTCGAACTGGGGCACGGGGTGGTGGGAGTGCTTTTTGAATGTAGTGAGGAAGCTGTGAAACATGGGATCAGGAAATTGGCGTTCACGGCGGCCTAAGGATTAATATAGGCCTCACTTCCTAATAGGAAGTGTCGTAATTGTTCCTGGTGAAGAGTGAGGGAACGAGATTTACGTGACCACCGTGATAAAGTGGTAAAATAAGTGGATAATAGTAGGACCATGGTTGACGGGTGCGCCGCCATGGAATGTGTCCAGAGGAAATTACCCGTGAGTTAATCCTCACTCATCGGTCTCAGATCTTAATGGAGTGACCTCTAATGTGTATAATAATTATGAGACGTTAAATCGTCTTGTGAATGGTAATGTAATCAGTGATAATAAAATTAAGTTAAGAGAATGCAGGAAGTGAAATAAATCGCCCTGCTCCGAGTGAACGTGTGGTTCTCGTCCCGAGGATAGCGAAGTTTTATGGAATCATGACTTCTAAACCGGAACAAACCAACGGATACCTCGTCCTGCTGGAATAAGAACCGTGTTGGTGTAGCAGGACATCGAAAAGAGATGGTGAATGGAGGAAATAAGGAGCATCAATCACCCACAGTTAAGTAACCTTTCTAGTTATAGCAGACTGATACTGGCCAGTTAGGTATGTTTTAATTGGATAGGTTATGGGTGATCCAGCCACATCAAGTGACCACCAGAGAATATCTGGTAAGTGGTGGGATTATGTACAAGTGTTTTTTCTTTGATGGGTATATCCATGTGTAACCTACCCCCCCCCCTTCATTCAGTTAAACTAATATAATCTATACAGTCCACAATTAATTAGTAGCACCGTACTTGAGGGTGCTACCCAATTTATACTGGTCTCGAATAGATATGGATAAGATTGTGAGGGTCGAGGGGCCACCTGCAGTGACCAGAGGTGGTTAAGTTTTCTCACATGTCTACATGGGTGACTACGGTAAACAATATCTTTGTTGTCTCCCAAGGAGATTACTCGCATGCATGTAATGTTGAGGTATGTACAAGTAATCACTCCTATAAAATTTTCCATAGTTTATATATATATATATATATATATATATATATATATATATATATATATATATATATATATATATAATTTTATATATATATATATATATTATATATATATATATATATATATATCTGGAGTTTACCTAAAGAGAGTTCCGAGGTTCAACGCCCCCGCGGCCCGGTCTGTGACCAGGCCTCATGGAGGATAAGGGCCTGATCAACCAGGCTGTTACTACTGGCCGCACGCAATCCAACGTACGAACCACAGCCCGGCTGGTCAGGTACTGAATTTAGGTACTTGTCCAATGCCTGCTTGAAGACAGCCAGGGATCTATTGGTAATCCCCCTTATGCATGCTGGGAGGCAGTTGAACAGTCTTGAGCCCCTAACACTTACTGTGTTGTCTCTTAACGTGCTAGTGACACCCTTGCTTTTCATTGAGGGGGCATATTACATAGTCTGCCGAGTGTTTTGCTTTCGTAGGGAGTGATTTTCGTGTGCAAATTTGGTACTAATCCCTTTAGGATTTTCCAAGTGTATGTAATCATGTATCTCTCCCGCCTGCGTTCTAGGGAGTACAGGTTCAGGAACTTCAAGTGTTCCCAGTAATTGAGGTGTTTTATCTCATTTAGATTTATAATTGCATTTTTCGATTAATATGTGTTCACTTTTAGCGTCTGTCTAGTTTTACCTCTCTCATATTAAATACAGTTTGAGAATACCAGCATTTTTAACAGATATTTAATTCTGTGGCTTCTCCTTCAGGCATCATATCTTTAACATTTAACAGTACTCAAGTTATTTCTGGTAATCTTGCTCACGAGGCTCTTCTCTCCCTCTCCTTTACACAGGAAAGTTACCAGAGCTAAAACTAGGTTTACAAAATTATAGGGACACAATATATAATTCGGTTAATTAGGTAAATAACTTAACACTTTTTTTTTAACTAAAGTTATTCTCATTTCTTAGGTTGGGTGTTGCAAATAACGTCTTATGTAATACAAATACCGAGTTACATAAATACTGAAGAGATTTTAAGTGCTTATTGTGTACATAATGTTTGTCGTATCCCAGGAGCGCCGGTCTGTCTTGCCCACCATGTAATCGCGCTGAGTGCCCAGAGGTCACATGCTCCCTCAGTGTAGGCGAAGACATCTGTGGCTGCTGTCCAACATGCCTCAAGGTAAGTGTTGCCTCATAAACAGTTAAATTTAATTAAGTATGCTAATGAAAATTAATTGCTATTTTTTTTTTATGCTGGGATAGCCCTTTATTGGAAAAAATATAGCCTCAATAAGTCGTGAGACAGTGCTCGAAAAGAAGAAGAAAACTTTTGTTTCCGCAATAAGATTTCCGTAAGCAGTAAATACTTTCTTTGTTATCCCTAATTATATATTAGATTCACGTCTGTACCCTCAGACGAAGCAGTGGTGTAACTCCTTACTTTCTGACTTAATATTAGTGTGTCTGCGGTAGTGCATCGCCAGTCCAATTTGAACACTTATCTATTATGGCTTATATCGGAGTGAACGATTTCTAAATATGAATACGCTAACAGCATTAGCAAGAGAAGCCACATTACATCACGCGTCGCAGCACTAAGGCAGACCAACTTATGCAGACTTTACAAAAGCCTCCCAAAATAAAGAGGGATAACCATGTTATCATGGGAAGATGATAAAGAGTTGGTTAAGACTACCCATGTAAATCTTCTCTGGCTTATATAATCTATAACACTGTGGAGGTGCGGCTGGCAGTTTCAGGGAGTCTCAGACGTCTACAAAATACAGGAACTTATTTATAATTATGCTTTCGTCTCGGCAAGTCTAAATACCCTAGGCGTTTAGGAAGAATACACATTCAAATCTGTGAAAAGGTTTCGACAATAAAGACGTTGTATAGGGAATGTAGTGAGTAACATGGCGACTTTATAGTTAATCTGAATACGTGTCTCACTTCCTGTAAGATGCTATGGATAGTTGGAGAGGAGGTCATTCTAATTTTTATACAGGTATCCATTGCAATGATAGTTCCTTTATATTGACTGATTAACAACAATACAGAAATGCGCTTCAACATTTATTGTTATGAAGAAAGATTAAGGGAAATCGGCCTGACGACACTGGAGGACAGGAGGGTCAGGGGAGACATGATAACGACATATAAAATACTGCGTGGAATAGACAAGGTGGACAAAGACAGGATGTTCCAGGGAGGGGACACAGAAACAAGAGGCCACAATTGGAAGTTGAAGACACAAATGAGTCAGAGAGATATTAGGAAGTATTTCTTCAGTCATAGAGTTGTAAGGCAGTGGAATAGCCTAGAAAATGACGTAGTGGAGGCAGGAACCATACACAGTTTTAAGACGAGGTTTGATAAAGCTCATGGAGCGGGGAGAGAGAGGGCCCAGTAGCAACCGGTGAAGAGGCGGGGCCAGGAGCTAAGACTCGACCCCTGCAACCACAAATAGGTGAGTACAAATAGGTGAGTACAATACCATAAATCAAGGTAAACAAAAAATTCACTTCTGTGCTTTTGAGAATTTTGAGGGTAGGTAACCTGTGAAATCTTTGAGATTACATGTAGTTTACAAGTACATGTACAAGGTATACAGTCCCAGTTGACATTAATGACATACTGCTATACAGAAAGCATTTCAAATTAGGTCAATTTTGTCCCAGGATACGACCCGCTGAAATTGACTAATATCCAGGTACCCATTTTACTGATAGGTAAACAGGGACAACAGGTGTAAGGAAACACCGCCAGTGTTTCCACCCTTGCTGAGAATCGAACGCTGACCCTCAGCGTGTGAAGCAAGAGCCTTGCCTACCAGGCCACGAGCCTGGTAAATGTACTTGTAGAAATAAAGATTTTATTATATATTATTATTATTAAAAAGAATTTCTTCTATGAAATTCTATTATTCATCAAAATGTCGTGGAATCCTTAATAGACATAGCGTACAATATATTTAAAATAAATGTTATGGCACTATTTGAAGGTCCAGTAGCCACACACTGAGATCCGGGGGTCGATCCCCGGTACGGGTGAAAATGACCAAATTTGCGGGAAATGCTCTGCATACAGTAGTATACAGTAGTATGTCACTGATGTCAGCTAGACCTGTATACCTTGTACATGTACTTGTAGAAATAAAGATGATTGTTATGATGATTATGATACATTGCTTGGTATTCCAGACTATTGTCCATAACCTAGAGGACAAATGAAATTTTAGAAAATAAAAACTGTGTTTTTTGCAAATACGTATAGCATTACCCTACCACCGTTTTCTTAAATCAACAGACATTACTGTACTTGATTCCCCCTACCACCGTTTTCTTAAACCAACAGGAATTACTGTACTTGATTCCTCCTACCACCGTTTTTTTAAACCAACAGGAATTACTGTACCTGATTCCCCCTATCACCGTTTTCTTAAACCAACAGACATTTCTATACTTGATTCCCCTCTACCACCGTTTTCTTAAACCAACAGGAATTACTGTACCTGATTCCCCCTACCACCGTTTTCTTAAACCAACAGACATTTCTATACTTGATTCCCCTCTACCACCGTTTTCTTAAACTAACAGACATTACTGTACTTGATTCCTTACATTCTGTTATTTTACCCATTTATTCTTTAAACTTCGTATTTATAAATAGTCTTACATTGAATTTCCCCCGAGAATAATAATTAACCCTCATAATTATTGATGCCTTTATGAAGAAGAGCCGAACCCACATAGGTCATAAAGAATCTCAGTAAGGGTAGTTAGTCAAGCTTGATCCAAGACAGGATCAGTGTTTTGGATCAAGAACCCTTCATTGGCATTATAGGATTAACTTACAATAGCGTTAATGACCTTAGTGTAAACAACAGACATCTCCTTACAAATATTAACTGGATTCTTTTCATGTTGGCTTAAAATAGTTATCCCAGAAATCTGGACAAATTGGACAAATAAATAATTTTTATTTAATTTAATTTTTAATTTAAATTGAATGTTCAGTAAGAGATATATGCACATTAATTACTATATAAAGTTATCTCAATGATTTTTAATAAGGAAATTTTGATCTGATAAGAAGCATTGAGAATCTATGGGTGAACTTTGTTTCTTCACATGACTTTTTTTGGCTCCTGCGGCAGTTAGAACCTTAGATCAACATTATTTTTGAATGGTATTGTCAATCATCAGAGGTTGGGTTAGGTAAGGTTCGTCAGGAAACAGGACAAGTATTTCCTGACGCGGGTCTTAGATAATGACCCGCCGTTGGAGCTTTTGGTCATCTGACCGATTCCTTCCGCTGGCTTACCGGTCCACCCCTTTAAAAATTATGGTTAGTTATAACCATTATTGGATCAGTCATCTGAGTATTTTGTTTACTGTAAATTGCAAATCCAATATTAGAAATGTGTTGTTTAACATTTTTAATAGAATCTTTATATTTTTCATTTGTTCAGACATTTGAGGATCTGTATAATATGTAGTTTTTCTTAAACATATTAATATACATTATATGTTTTTTAGTTTCGTTTATGATTTTTTGGATTTTTATTTATATGGTTCATTAATGTTATTTCATATTTCAAAGAAAATTTTAATTATCATTAAAAATCAATATAAAAGCCTGTATTCTAGATATCATAACAAATTGTGCAAATACCTTCCGAACAGTTATTATCTACTGTAGGATTTTACAGTAACTGTGGAAAATTACATTTACCTGGATATAACTCACCAGACACATACCAGTAAATGGTAACAAAGATAATTATTATTTATCAAAGTTACAGAGACAAGTAGGAATTTTAGGACACCTAGGTCGCAAAAAATGTCCCTCTTCGATACCTACTACTGTCATATCCACTAGTAACTCTTGACCTATATTAATTACAAATGAAATATACATTAACAAGAATTATGGTAAACATTATTATAAATTTGTGGACTGTATGTTAAAATTAATAAATGATTACATATACACATTTATATAACAGAAGGAGAATTTATAATCATAACACTCACCAATTTGTCTGGAGATTACTGTGTATCATACTCAAAACCCCTGCCTAAAATTTATGAAGAAAATACTGGCCATAATTTCTACACAAATATAAAGACATGCTTACTGGGGTTCTGAAGCTGTCCTGCCCATCTGCTTAATTCTCACGTTATGCAGGACTGCAATTCCAACAATTTCGGCTCCTATTTGAGAGGTTTTAAGCTCAATATAACCCCTAGAGCGACGAAAATTATGCACATTACATTAGCTTGCCTGTAACACATTCAAAAAACAATGGAGTCTCTCCCTGCTCGTCAGCGCAGGTGCAGAGCTTCCTTGTCGGTTCACTTCTTTAAAATACACTTTAGAGCAATAGTAATGTATTAATCAGGTATATTTACATTATAAAATTGTACAGCATAATTTTGGGAAATTATTTTCCACAGTAACCTTTTAGTTCTAAAATGTATTTTGATAAGTCAAAAATGAAATTTTATGCAGCTGAGTATAACTTGTTGTGCATTAACTAATTTAAATACAAATAAATTGTCATTAATTAAAACATGGCTACTTACTGTCAAGTAACAAACGTAAGTTCTGAGATATTTACCATCAAATGGAAGACTTCTTGGAAAAAGAAACTCTATCCTAGTACAAACTTATAGTTTATTGTATTTAGTTAGCTTGTTTTCTCTTGTAACTTTTGGCATGTAATACGAAAATTTTAATTAATAAATATTTTATTATATTATTTCATTATTTACTTCAGAATATTACAACAAGTTATGTTATGGACAGGGTCTTGGTGAGCCATGTGGAGGCATCTGGAATCATGCTGGCTCGTGTGATCAAGAATTTGTTTGTAGTAACCCACCAAACTTCAGCGACCAGAGAGCTGGTGAATGTAAGCTGAAGGAGTAGAAAGGTAAAATTTAACATTATAATGACCTATAGGTGTTAAAAAGTAATATTTTGTTGTCCATGACAAGAAAACAAAATGATGATTGATGCAGAGAATGATTTATGCTTATATAACTATGATGCTTATTTGAATATTGTGAACAGCGTTCCTTACAAAATGGTGACTGATCATTAATTTCGAGAGCCAGGACATTCTGCTGTTGACTCTCGCCCTGGCAGGTCATAGCAGCTCTCCTTACTTTGTCTCCCTACGATCCCCGTTGGGGAGGGGAACCTTTACCAGCGTCGTCTTCTCCTTGACTTGCATGATGAGCTACGCAAATCGTGTAAAGATCAAGCCAAAAAGTGGTACCGTTGATGATTCAACGAAGATTGCTCTTGCAACTGTTGTTCAGGGAGCACTGCAAGTTAAATTCAACACCATTTTGTCCCTGAAAGAAGCATTCATTGTTGTGTGTACGATGATGCTGAAGCAGAGAAGCTACTCACTACAGAAGCCACCACTACACTTACTGCTCAAGGGTTTACTGTTACGTCATCTGCCCTCAGGGCCAGGAAATCAGTATTCCTTAAAAAACTTGACAAGATTCTGACGTCTCAAACACCTGCAGAACTCGAGACGCAAAATACTTGGGCTACTGTTGACAGCATTACAAAAATCCCGAATGCATCGTCCATGCTCAAGGTCACCTTCACCGACGTCAACATGGCTGCCACTGCTCTGAACGAAGGTCTTGCTGTCTACTACTACTACATCAGTCCCACCTACATTGAAGCAGAGAGATATCAGTACATCCAACATTGCTGGAACTGTTATTCATACCATCACACCACACAAGCATGTCCAGTGAAAGACAAGAAGTTCTGCACTACATGTGGTAGTGAGGGACACGCCTTCAGTTCCTGCACCACTGCTGCTCCAACACAACCAGCGTGCTTAAACTGTAAGAGTAACGACCACCATACACTGGCAGCAAAATGTCCTACAAGAAAGGATATTGTGAAGAAAACACAAGATGCAGCAAAGAAAAAACCTACTAGCAACACACCAACGTATGCAGCAATTGCAAAGATACAAGCTAACACTACAAAATTACTTCAAGCATCTACTCAGCCAGCCTCCACCATCATCACTCCTCCAACATGTGACGTAACCAAGATCCACTACTGTCTACTATACGCTCACATGCAGAACATGGCTGTACCTGGAACCTTTAACTCTACCATCAACGAGTTATTTGCATTAAATAATATAAGAACATAAGAACGAAGGAACACTGCAGAAGGCCTACTGGCCCATGCGAGGCAGGTCCAAGTCTCCTACCGGCTTAAGCCAATGCACCCAACCTAGTCAGGTCAGGTCACATTGACTTAAGGGAGGAACACGGCAACCGACCTGGTAGCACAAGCTATGAGGTCCAACTCACACCCACCCACATCCACTCATGTATTTATCCAACCTATTTTTAAAGCTACACAACGTTCTGGCCTCTATAACTGTACTCGGGAGTTTGTTCCACTCATCCACAACTCTATTACCAAACCAATATCTTACCGGTTCATGCTGAATGAATTTAAAAATAAATCAGGGAATCCATCTCAAGTCCCACCATTATTGTACGAGCGAGCGGTCCATGTCCTTTCGCATACTATTTCATTATTTTTTAACAAGTCACTAGAAACTAGCACTTACCCGACACTACTCAAGACAGCAAGAGTTACAGCAACACACAAAGGTGGTGACCCCACAGATGTAAACAACTATAGGCCAATATCAAACTTACCATTTCCATCCAAAATCTTCGAGAAACTCGTGCACAAGAGATTATATTCGTTTATAACAGCACAAAGCATATTCAACCCCTGCCAATTTGGCTTCAGAAAAAGTAAAAGCATAAACGATGCAATTGTAAAAATGCTAGATCTGCTTTACACAGTACTGGGAAATAAGGAATATCCATAAGGACTTTTTATTGACCTTAGGGAAGCTTTTGACACAGTAGACCACGGCATCCTACTCCACAAACTTGACTATTATGGTATAAGAGGACATGCACTTGAATATTTCAAATCCTACCTTACTAATAGGTATCAGTACGTCACCATTAAAGACACAACCTCATCAACACGACCACTTGATACTGGAGTACCACAGGGAAGTGTCCTTGGTCCCCTGCTCTTCCTCTTATACATCAAAGATCTTCCCAACGTATCACAACAACTGAAACTGGCGACACGACTTACGTCATCTCCCACTCAAATCTTGCCACACTCAACACCATTGTTAACGAGGAGCTACTCAAAATATCTACTTGGATGACAGCCAATAAGCTTACACTTAACTATATTATGTTTGGTAACAGAACAGGTGTTGCACTGAACATTAAGATCGACAACATTCTTATTGCCAAATATAATAAGGGCAAATTCCAAGGCCTACACCTCAACAGCAACCTGAAATTTAGCACCCATATCCAACACATTATAAAAAAAAGTATCCAAAACGGATGGGATCCTCTCCAATATACGTGCCACAATCAGCCCTTCTCACACTACTATTCACTCATCTATCCCTACCTCACCTATGCTATTTGTGCCTGGGGATCAACAGCAACACACCTAAAGCCAATAATAACCCAACAAAAAGCCATAGTAAGAATAATCATGCAATCCAATCCCAGGCAACACCCCTCCCCCCCCCACTTTTCAAAGATTTAAACTTACTGTACAGAACATCCACACTTACTACTGTGAAACTTGCATTTACAGAACCATAAATTCCAACTAAAACAGTTTCTTGATAGTTGAGACAGGACCCACAGGCATAACACCAGGCACAAAAAATCTCTGACATTCCTGGTGTCTGGCTAAACCTATACAAAAATTCAATGTACATAAAAGGACCTAAGATCTGGAACACCCTACCTGAAATCTCTAGAACTGCAGACACAACCATCACTTTCAAAACTACCGTTAGAAAACATCTTTCCCTGACACACCCCACTGTCAGCTAACTTCATGAAAACCACCTACTCTCTCACCTGCATCATACACACATAAAAAACAAACTAGACCTACTCTCGATATCTTTTAAATTCCCCCCAACTTACCCCCCACACTCCCCCCAAATGCCCTGTAAAAAAAAAATTTTACGTAATAAAGCTTTTCCCCAAAAAATTTTTAAACTAACAAAAAGTTTGCCTAAAATACTGCAATTGGGAAGTTTCAAGAAACTGTGTACATGCCAAAGAAAAACCCAAATTCTCTTGCAAAATTTAAAAACTTAATGCATTTACCTCCTTAATATCAATATCCCTCCATAAACCGGGTATCAATATTGATTTAAAATTTATTTTTAGTCTGCCCAAAATACCTAGCCCATGCTGGCCATGATAGGGGCCCCCTCTGTACTTATTTTGTAACCAATATTTTAAAATGAAACCCACACATTGTAACCAAAAATTTTTTAAATTGTAAACCCCACTTTAAAAATTTTTTTTTAAAAGAGAAAAACCCTTTGTTTTAAAGGGATTATTATACAGTGTTGGGAAAAAAATTTTTCCCAGATAATTTCGTTGAAATTTGCATTTAAAGATTTTGACCAAATTTTTTAAAATATCATCAAAAGATTCTGTATCTACATTATAAAAATAAACCCTTTTAATTTTGCTTTTCCCCCCCCTTTTTTTTCCCATTAGAAATTTTTAAATTACAAAAATAAAATACGGAAAAATAAATTTTTTAAGGGTTTTTTTCCCAAACCCAATGCCCGTCCTTTAAATTCCCCGGAAGGGGCTGTATTTTACAGACTTTTTAACCAAAAGGGATTAAAATCCCTGACAGCTTAGAGTTTTTCTGTTGTATATCAAACATACTGTACGAGAGTGAGCCCTCATTTCCCTTTGGGAAAAACGGGGTTTAAATTAAAGGCCCGAATTACTAAATAAAAATAGTGGGAAACTTGGGAAAAATCATCTGTTTAGAAAACCCCTTTAAATTTTTATTTATTAAGGGTTTTTTGTGCAGAAAAAAAACCCACCCAAAACAGTGACATTTTTTAAAAGGTTAGTCTTTCCCCTTTCAAAAACCATAGTTTCTGAATACCGCTGCTCTTATCCCTTTCCATTTTAAAAAACCCATCCCCCGTAAAACAACCTTTCTGGAACCCCGGACTTTTTTTAATTAAAAGGAATTCTTTTTTAAAATTTAAAAAACTTTAAAAAATTTTAAAGGGAAACTCAGAAAAGAAACTTTTTAATTTTTTTGAATTTCCCTTTTTATTGTAAAAAATAAAAGATAATTAATGTCTCGAAACTCAGTAAAAAAGGACACTTTCCCTTAAACTGTTTAAACAGTATTATTTTTTCCACATAACCCCTCGATTGCACACACACCCCAAACACACACACACACAAAACACACAAACACACACACACAGTAATTATATATAATAAATATATAAAAAATAAAATAAAAATTTTAATATATATTATATATATATAAATTTTGAAAGAGGTTTTCCCCTTTCCCAAAAACCAAACTTCGATTGTAAAACTTATAAAATAAAAACAAATTTTGCATCAACAATGCAAATTTTTAATAATTTTAAATGAAATTGGGAAACTAAAAAAGGAAAAATCATATTTTAACGATTTTTTCAGATAAAAATTTCCCGAAAGTTCCTGGTTGATAAATTTTAAGTTTCTTACGAAGAACTCGTTAACTAGATTTACCATTGCCATTCCCACTATCATTAAACTTATTAAACTTTGTATTTTAGATGCAAAATTTGTATTTTAAAGATAAGTTTTAAAATTTAGAAGTTTGGGAAGACAAGGGAAATCCTCTTTCACCTTTCTTTGTAACCTATCATGGGAAATTTTTTTAAAAAAAGGGGTTTCTTAACACAATCCTCCCTTAGAGCTAAATGGTTTTTGATATGTTTTATGATAATTTTTTGGGCTTTTTTCCAAAAAAGTTTGAAATTCACCATTTCCTTGGAAA